GCGTGCGTGTGTGTGCGTGCGTGTGTTGAACCAGCTGGCAGAACAACTTCCTCCACTTTCGGTCACACCCACATCCCTCGACAAAAAGATCTCCACCAATGCCACCTTCTGTTTCTGCATAACACGGACCAGACTTGTTCAGGCATGCGCACGTCTGAATCTGAAACATGCACACTTACTTTCTTCATCAGCCAGAATCAGAAGCTCAGCAACGCACCTAACATCAACACCTCGAGCGCACAGGGCTTGCCGTCCTGCGTGCCTTGCTTGAAGCTGACCTGTAGTATGGCAGGCTCGCAGTTCATGGCCGGACATGCCAGTTTGGAAAACAGAGATGGCAGGCCTTCACACCCTCCTTTAGATTGATTGGGTTCGTCGGAGTGCTGCCCACGATGAACTTTCGGTGGACGAAAAGGCCTGTCGAGTTGCCCCAAACCACGGACTCCCGCAGAAGGATACTGAGACTGATGCCACCCGAAAGGATTCGAGAACGGCGGTGGCCTTTACCGACTTCTCCGCCCTCCTCCTTCCCGGCGGGCATGATGAAGCCGAAGCCCTGCGCTGCCGAGGCAGTCCCAAAGCAAAGCAAGCTTTGTTTTGCGAAACAAGGGTTAGTGAGCTGAGCTTGAATCCTTTTGTGGGAAGTTGGCATGCTGAAGCACACGGCACCTTCTCCGAGTCCCACTTGTTGACCCGGCCGTCCATCCGCGTATCCTGGCCACGGTAAGCGATCGGTGAGCTCAAGCGTTTCTCGAAGCCTGGAAGCGAACGCACGCACCTCCTCCTTCTCCGGCGCCTTCGGCGCAGGCGCTGGCTCTTCGGCGCGGGCAGAACCATCCTCACCCTGCAAGGATGCAGGCATGTCCTTCTGTATCATCTTCGTGGCGACCCTGGAACCTGAGCGCCCTCCACCTCAAACTTCACAAATTCTGTCTTTGAGATGGCTCTTCGCATCTCTTCGGACCTGGCTTCGAGTTCTCAAGAAAACACGTCTTGCTCAGGTTTGCGCTGTCGCCGTCGGGGACGGGACTGTTTCATCTTCTTTACCAGGGGATCCTGAGACACGGCAGAGGCAGAGCCCGCAGAGCCCGGAGTTGTCGTAAGAGGCCGCAAGCGAAAGCTGTCCCCTGAGGCCCTGAGACAGTGGCGTCGTCGTCGTCGATCCTTCTGAAGAAGCGATTGTCACTTTCCTTTGGTGTGTAGTACACCTGGCTGTCTGCTCAAAGAGCGTCAAAAGAAACGATGGATTGCAAGTCGGATCCTGAACAACTCCTTCAGAAAAGCTGCCAGGGTGCTGTTTAGGCTACATAAAACATTGCATGCTATTTGCACAGGCGAGATTTCGGAAGCGGTGCCTGTGTCTTCAAGTGGAAATAGAGACCCGTTTCCGGGTGAAACTTCCATTTTGCTGTCTTCTTGTAGACCTCGGCTTCGGCTGTTCTGTAGTCTTGAATCTGGCAGCATCTCTGCATGAGATGCACGATAGACCGGAAACAGCACATTCGCTCTTTTCAACACTTTGCATGCACCTCGCGGCACGGAAACACGTGAGACTAGCCTAAGTCGGACGGCACATCGTCCCTCTAATATCATTGGAAGGTACGGCGAAACACGCACGCACTCTGCATTTCCGGCACAGCAGCGCCTAAAGCCTCAAGAACGACAAGCACCGCCGTTCTTGCAGGACCTCACGGATCAGGAACAGCTCTGATGAGGCCGTTGGGGAGGAAAAACAAATCGTAGGTGATCTTGACCTGGCGCTGGGCGCAGAAACACAACGTAACGACAAAGAGGAGGATGCTAAGAAAGACAATGTCAATGTCGATGAACACAAGAGGGGACACGCAGCCAGAGTTCTCAGGCCCCCAACCATGCTCGCAATCGCCAAGAGCTTCAAGGCCTTTCCATGCAGATCCACTTTGCACGGAAAGTGCTCGGATCAGCCCAACCTCCAATATGAATGCCCCAGGCCCCAGAAAAAAATCGATGATGTCGGCGGCCTTGGTCTGTGCACTCTCGAAGATATAATGATGCTGGTATCAGATTTTTTTCTTCTCATATGATTTGACTGCCTAGCGTGCCCCACGTATGGCTACTGCCCGGCATGGGGGTGTCGGGACCGAGAGTTGGAGCCTGACAGCAGAGCAGTAGATGTGGCTGCAAAAGTAAATTTCGATCACCACTCCGTACCGGACCCCCAGGTTCGTAGTCTGGTGTGGGATATGCGGGTTTGGGTTCAAGCTGCGGTAGGTGTTCGAATTTGAGTATTCGGGTTTAGGGTTGACGGGGTTAGGGTTCAGCATCTCAAATGTAAGGCTGTGAGGTTTAAGGCATTTGGATTTAGAACTTGAAGGGTTTACGATGAAATCCACAGCAGAACCACGTGCAGATCCACTCCCAGACGTGCTGTAAAAAAGCTGTGCTGCAGATTTCACCTTTGTGAGCACACGAACTCCCTCCATACCAGGCCGGGGGACTACTTTGGTGCGGGCCAGCCCGGCACCTTGCAGTGACGAGGCCTTGGTCAACAAGCAAAACCGGCCTCTTGTAGAACAGTCAGCACAATCCCACCTTGATGGCCAACACTCCCGGATTCTTTCGCACAACTTCCCCAGCCCCCTCCTGCACAGCTCCAGGTGGGCAGGCTCTTGAAGGCACTGTCTCTGTCTCTGCCGCCCCCGTCCTCACCCAAGCCTTTCCGCAGCGCCTCAGCGGCTGCCTGAGAGGGATGTCGGATCCTGCACCGCTCCGCTCCACCGCTTGAGCCCAGCCTGCGTCACACGCTCCCCGACACACATGATCCCCACGTTGCGCTCCAGGGCAGCCAAGCCTGGAAGGAGGCGATGGATCGAAGCTGCACAGGAAGAAAATTGACGAAGCTAATCTCTGTGCTCTCAAAGAGAGCACAGCGAAGCAAATCTATCCGAGCAGAGCTCACTCGGCCTTGCTGCTCGCCGCCAGCCGCCCGAGCCAAGATCCTGAAGCCAGCGTCCCAAGGTGATGCAAACTCGAAGAGCCTCCTTGCAGCCAGGCTTCCGGAACCGCCGTCGCACCCCTCGCTCATCGTCCGGTGTCAGGAACCCCTCCACAGGAAAAGCCGTGCGGCAGCTCAGACATCCCAGAGTGGCTTAAGCCGGCCTTCCGCCAATTGGGGACCTTGGACTCCAGAATCTCCAAGGCCTTGACCTCGAAAGGCTCCGCAGCTTCGAGGGTTTTTGTTGCAAGCGGGTCCTCGCCGCACCTCGGCCTCGGACAAGGGCAGGAGGTCGGCGACGGAAAAGTCGAGGTCATCCCAAGGACCTCCAGACAGCATCTCACAGGGACAGCGATCGCACCACGAACTGCAACCAAGATGATGTCAGCCAAAACTGCCGAGGTGCGACTGCCATCTCTACTGAAGCTCCAATCGTTCGCAATGTAGTCGTAAAAAGCCTGCATTGTGAGATTCAATGCTCCAGCAAACTTGTGCTTCCATGTAAGATTCGGGCGACGAACTTGATCGACTGTGGGATTTCGGCGTTTTCAACGAGATTCGCTGCTGGATTCAAGGCTTCTGGGCTTGAAGCGGTAGAGTTGTGCTTAAGATTGCTGAAGGCTTTGGAATTTGTAATTTGATGGGTCCGGCCTTCCATGCTTCCTTCGGGTCTGGGTGCTTGTCCACTCCTCAACGTGGAAACCTTCGTTGCTCGAGCCCTGCTTTCTTTGCTATCGAGGAAATGGCAAGCGAGCTCCGCGGCCCACAAGAAGCAAGAGCAGCACGCGGCTTCAGAAGTTGTGGATGGCTTTGGAGTTCCCGTTCGTAACAGTAGTTGACCCTGCGGTTCTCTCACAATCGCTTGTCATGGCACGCCGAAGCCTAGCGCCTAAGCAGGATGAAAAGTCATGGAGGGATAAATGAGAACGGCAGACGGACGCAAGTGCACCTTGCCCTCTCCCTTTGCTCGGCGTGCGAGGCTGCGACCTGCAACTGTCTGACCAAGAGGTGGGCTCAACATAAAACGCAAGGATTTCGTTCTACTTGGCAGACCCTTCACCACAGCGGCTCCTCTGCACGAGCTGGCGAAGCTCAGCGGATTGAGCAACAGCACCTGCGAAAAGGGAGAAGAGTGCTTCGCAGGTCATCCACCAAAGCATGCACACTGCTGCAGAGCTGGACCTCAAGGCCCCGTCCAGACGCGCCAAAGCGACTTCAGTGCCAAAGCGATGATGCTTTGAGATCCCCAACCCCGGCAGCTTCCAGCTGGGGACGGCATGCGAAGCAGTGCTAGCAGGGCCGCGGCCACGAGAGCAGCCCCCCCAAGGTGTGAGGCCTCAAAAAAGGGCCCTGTCGGTGTGTAGGTTTGGGAGCATCGGCATCGGGGCCCGTGCGCAAGCACGTCGGCACTTCCTAAAATTCCGCCCACACAAGCCCGACAACGGAAAAGATTATCCTCATGATCATCATGATGCTGCCCCACGTTTGCTCAGAATAACGACGGCGGCAGTGTCACCCCGAACCAGCACATAAAGTTCGTCGCGCGTGCATGCCTAACCATGACGATGCCGGATGGCCTTTGCAGCCGCTACCGCCGACCCACCCCTGGAAAGCATCATTGCGTCGCTGGACAGCATGATTGGACGGGCCCCAGTGCCGTTGAAACCTGAGACGTTGTTCTAGCACATTTTTGAAGAATCACACAAACGTGGGCTCGCATCGTGAGCATCGTTTGGGGAGAGAATTTTGCTGCCGGGACATGATATCCAAATTGCTGAGATCCACGCAGGACTCAAAAGCACGATCTTATACGCACTTGCACAACGGGGCCGGCCCATGCCTTGGCCTAAACTTAGTGCACCGATGGACTCTGCTGAGTGCAGCCGAGCCATGTGC